TAGGAAGAGGGGATGAGGCAGGAAAAGGCACAAAGGCATCAACACAGATACACACTCAAGAGCCCATACCATTCAGGCTCTGAATTGCACAGAAAAATGTCTGAGTCACAGAGGGGACAGAAGCCAGCAAGAGACTGTGTACTAACCTTTGGAGTTAAAGAAGTCTCCACAAACAACATAATTCTCACAGCTGCCCCCTGCCCTACCCATTGTGATACTATCATGTTGACAATCTGGTGGCAGCACACATCTCAGGGAAACAGAAAAACTCGGATCCTAGCAGAGGTTCATTTCACTTGTTCCTTTAATGCCAGAGATTTATTTTTAGTCTCTGTATCTGATCTTTTGACCATGCTTCATGAGAAGGAGTATGTATTTCTCCAACAACTATTAGCCTAGAAGCTACAAACTGAAGGAAATGAGATTCAGCACATGACAATCAGAAACTTTGAAGTTCCTACATCTAACACAAAATGGGAGAAAAAAGCAAACTATGTCAAAACACGGGAGAAGCCAGCCACCATTAGGTAGGGTAATATTTGCCCTTGAGAAGCCCAGTCAAGGGGGTTGAGGGTTTTAGGCCAGCCTTGGCTATGTAGGGATAGCATGTTTCAGGAAGAAAAGAAAAAGCACATGGAAGAATCTAGAAGGTGTGTGAGGCTAAAGTATGTCAGCAATAACTATTTTTTTCGGAACCTAGAAGGCCTCATATGCATCATGTTAGATCACAGACATCGATGTACATATCAGTGATAATGAGTAATGTGGAAAAGATTACCCAAGTTAGATACGGAAGCAGGTACACAGTGGGGGGGGGGCTCTGTCGCAAAGCCGCTCCCTTTACATCTCACTAATGTATTAATCCACAAATAGGTTGATGGATTCCTTCAGCATTCATAAGGGCTCTGCTGAAGACCCTGCCTCTACATGTTATTCACATATGACTTTGGTGATTTCTAGTATGTGAAATCTCTAGATCAATATTTAAACCATAGGGAAGGCCACGAATACAGGCAGCTTCTAGAAACTGGAAGTGACAAATGAATTGTTTGCTCCTCAACGGTCTACAGGAAGAATTCAGCCTCACTGATGCCTTGATTGTAGACCTACCAGACTTGCCTCAGACTCCTTCATGGATCTGGAGAAACATAAATGTTCCTTGTTGTGAGGCACTGAGTTGGCAATGATTTATCACAGCAGCAACAGAACAGACTAGGTTGACCCATCATCTCCATCAAAACAGAGTAGTAAGCACTGTCACTGGGATCCCTAAACACACTTGGAATGTGCAATAAGACTCGTGAAACTGCGGAGGACAAGCTCCAGGGTAGCAAGGAGTCAAACTCAAGCCCCAAGAGAAGCCAACACCCTGAAAACAGAAGAAAAAAACAGGAATGA